CTTTCCTCACCCTCCTTCTCCTACCCTCTGGGGATATCTCTCCAAACCCTGGTTCTCCAGTATCTCACCCCCACACCAGGCTTCCTCCTTCCTCCAGGAATAGCCACAATCAACTCAATTTAATCTCAACCCCCATGCTCCTAAAAACCACCCTCCCTTTTTTATGTGCACTCTGGAATGCCTGCTCTCTCTGTAATAAGCTCACCTCTGTCCATGACCTTTTTGTCTCCCACTCCCTTAACCTACTAGCAATTACAGAAACCTGGCCAAGCATCAGATTCTGCTTCTCCTGCAGCACTTTCCTATGGAGGCGTTCACTGGACTTACTCACCCCGACCCAGTGGCCGGAAGTAGGTGGAGTTGGTTTGTTTCTATCCCCACTGAGCACCTTTCAAGTCCTCCCTACCCCTCCCTCTCTATCTTCCTGTTCTTTTGAGACTCACTGCATTCGACTGTTTTCTCCTATTTCTCTGAGGATTGCAGTGATCTATCCGCCTCCTGGACCGGAGTGGCGTTTTCTTGATGACTTCTATGCTTGGCTATCCTACCTTCTCTCCTCTGAAATACCCACTATCATTCTTGAAGATTTTAACATCCCCATTATTGTGAACAACACAGCTACATCCCAGTTCACCCTAACCTCCTCTTTTGCCTTAACACAATGGACACAGTCCTCCACTCACTTTGATGGGAATACATTAGACCTTGTTTTCTCCCATCTTTGCACTCCCTACAACCTCACAAACACCCCCTTTCCTCTCTCTGATCACAATCTCATCACCTTCACAGTGTCCTCATCTTCAAACACCTATCCATCCAAGCTGCAAACAATTACCTGCAGAAACCTTCACAACATTTAACCCCTTTTCTTTTCCACTCTGCAACTGACCGCCTCTATGACAGAATATCTCCCCTTTCCTGCCCTTACCTGGTTCTTTCTACAACAGTTCGCTTTCATCCATGCTAGACTCTCTTGCACCTCTAACTACAATAAGTATCAGGGCCTGACCATTATAACCGTGGCAGACTGATGACACCAGAAATCTTAAGAGACATAGTTGTGTACTGAAGTGACTGTGGCGTAAAATCAAATCCAAGCAAGAAATCACCCTATATAAATCTGCTTTCTTAAAATACAATTCCTCCCTCCATGCTGCCAAACAAGCCTACTTTGTCATTCTTGTCATCCAGTCCTCGTGGTCTTTTCTCTACTTTTAACGCTCTACTTTCTCCACCTCCACCCAGTAACTCACTCACTGCTTATGAGATTGTCAATCATTTCAAAAACAAGATTGATGCAATTCATAGGGGCATCTCCACTACACAGACATCTATCTCACTTAGCATACCTTATACTAAACCTCCCTCAACACTTTCCTCTTTTGACCTTGCTACTACTGAAGAGGTCACTAAAGTTTTCTCAGAAGCCCGCCTCACTACCTGCCCCCTGGATCCTGTCCCCTCACAACTACTATGGTCACCCTCTTCTTCTATCCTATGCTCCCTTACTCACTTCTTCAATCTCTCCCTCTCTACTGGCACCTTCCCCTCTAAAGCATGCACAGATCACTCCCATACTTTAAAAGCCCTCACTGGACCCCACCAACCTAAACAACTTAAGACTTATCTCCCTGCTCCCGTTTATCTAAAAACACTCAGTCTACAATCGCCTGTGCGCCTGCCTCACTGACAAGAACATTCTTGACCCTTTAAAGTTTGGCTTTCGCTCACTACACTCCACTGAAACTGCCCTACCAAAACTCAGTAGTGATTTACTAACTACAAAAATCAATGGACGCTACTCCATACTCTTACTACTTTACCTCTCTGTGGCTTTTGATACTGTTGACCATCCCCTCCTCCTCCACTCTTGGCCTCAGACTCTGCTCTCTCCTGGCTCTCCACCTACCTATCGCAGCGCTCCTTCAGCATTACCTATAACTCTGTCTCCTCCACTCCACTTTCTGTAGGGGTCCCTCAAGCTTCTGTCCTTGGACCCCTTCTCTTCTCCATCTACACCTCCTCCCTTGGTCATTTGATAAACTCCTATGGCTTTAAGTACCATCTCTATGCTGATTACACACAAATCTATCTTTCTACTCCTCACCTCACCCCTTCAGTCTCCTCTCGCATTACTAACCTACTAAGTGACATATCAGCATGGATGTCACTCCACTTCCTCAAACTAAATCTTTCTGAAATGGATCTCATACTATTCCCTCCAGCCCGTGCCCCCCTCCCCTGACTTGTCCATCAACATCAATAATACAACCATTAGTCCCTCCCCTTATTCACTCCCTTGTTATCTCTCGCCTTGACTATTGTAACTCCCTCCTCGTTGGCCTACCTAATTGCAGGCTATCCTCTCTTCAGTATATCATGAATGCTGCTGCCAGACTCATCCACCTTAGCAACCATTCCATATCTGCCATCCCTCTCTGCCAATCCCTCCACTGGCATCCCATTACCCAACAAATATAATTCAAAACATGAACAATAACATATAAAGCCATTTATAACTCTGCCCCAAATTACATCACCAATCTTGCCTCCAAATATCACCCAAACCGTCCTGTCTGCTCCCCCACGACATCCTGCTCTCTAGCTCCTTTGTCTCCTCCTCCCATGCTCGTCTCCAGGACCTCTCCAGAGCCTCCCCCCATCCTCTGGAACTCTCTACTCCAATCTATCCAACTATCGCCTACTCTGCCCATTTTTAGGTGATCTCTGAAAACCTCTCTCTTTGGGGAAGCCTATCTGGCCTTCAACGAATAACCGAATCTCTTATTTCTCCTATCAGTTCATCCCCCACAGTTATTACCTTTTCTACCACCAACCCCTCCCTCTTTGATTGTAAGCTCCAAGGAGCAGGGCCCTCCTAACCCTCTTGTATTGAACTGTATCATTGCTGTATTGTCTCCCTTTTATTGTAAAGCGCTGAGCAAAATGTTGGTGCTATATAAATCTTGTATAATAATAATAATGATAAATCGACTAATTGGATAAAAAAAATGAAGTTAATTTGTAAAGTTTAAAAGAGATATTCTTGAATATCTATATGCAGTGGTAAATATAAATGGTCAGCTATATGGTTAGGGAACAAAATATCCAATTCACTTTCAGATTAACAAGATATACAGTATATACATGTAGAGGTTGAATCTGGTACATATCATTAGACTCAAAGATCAAAATCTTTATTAACCACTTGCCCTCCTGAGGATTTACCCCACTTCGTGAACAGGCCATTGTTTGTGTCACGGTGCTGCGTCATGCAATGCTGCACCTAAATGAAATTTACGTCCTTTTTTTCTCCACAAATTGAGCTGTTGGTGGTATTTGATCGCATGTGCGTTTTTAATTTTTTGCGCTATAAAAAAAATGGCTGACAATTTTGAGGGAAAAAAAAAAAAGATTTTGCTATTAAACATGTCCAGTAAAAAAATTTTAAAAATCTAAATACATTTAGGCTAAAATGTATTCTACTACATGTCTTTGCTAAGAAAAAAATCCCAATACATGTAAATTAAAGTTTACGTGAAAGGTATAGCATTTACAAATGGCAGTATATATACTGGGATTTTTAATTTTTTAAATTTTTTTTGTTTTTACTAGTAACGGCGGCAATCAGCGACTTATAGCGCGACTGTGGCAGGCATTCTGACACTAGGGGGAACTGACTTGGTGTCTAAAAAAAAAGTACTGACACTGTACTAATGCCACTGGGCAGAAAGGGGTTAACATAACGGGTGATCAAAAAATTAACTGTGAGCTGGGTGTGTTTTACTATGGGGTGGTGTCTGTGTGCTTCACTGTAAGCACACTGCTTTGGATGGATGGCTGTGCTGTGCACAGCCATCCAAAGCAGTGTGCCTGAGCTGACAGGGAAGAGAACTTTTAGTAAACAAAACAGTTCTCCTCCCTGTTGGAGATCTTTGGTAATCACCGGCCGGGAGCTGGTGATTGAGAGCCGCGGTCGCGATGGATACAGTGTGGATCGGCCCTGCATCCTGCTCCCTCCGCACAGGGTGGGATTGACAGCAGCAGGTGCCAATGGCTCCCGCTGCTGCATCTGAGTCCTGTGAATAGAGGGAGAGAAAGGAGCGCTGAATCAAGATCGGGGTCAGGTAAGTGTACGGGGGGCAAAGCTGATCAAAGAAGGTTGTTTACCTTAGTGCATAGAATACATTAAAATCACTTATTTCTCCAACTAATCGGCTGACCAGGTAATCGATAATTAAAATAGTTGACAACTATTTCTGTTCTAGATTATATTTGATCATGTTGATTAGTTTTTTCAGCCCTAAATGCAATTGGTTAAAGGTGTGCACATGTCTGTCTCATCTCAAGAGAGGATACAATTGTTTGCAGTTGGTTTCTCAAGGGCTGGGACATATCAGACCAGGCAAATTACGTGGCTTTTTGTGCCTACTGCAATACTTACCAATGTCAATCAGAAGAATGGGGATGGGTGTGTTTGGGATAACCTTGCTTCTTTGCCTAGGGCACCATTTGCCCTATAATCCCTCTCTGAGGCCTTTTCATAGTTGCCAGTTACTGTGGTGGATAACCTGCAAGCTATGCCTGAGGAACTGATGCAATGGAATAGACCAAGAGGTAAAAAAGAGAAGCTGCAGGCAGACACTGCAGTCTATGTAGAGGTACAAGTGGCACAGCAACCAAGCAGTTTTGTGTAAGTAGCAGGGAAACTGCTACAACTTCAGACTTCGAGCTGCCGGATATGTTTGAGACTCACATCAATAAAAGGCAGTAGGAAATCACTCTAATGTATACTTTCAAAAGGTAATATTGTTTTTTATTCCTGACACACCTTTGACACATCTCCCAGGTAGATAGAGCTCAGTTTTATTTCAAGAGGCAGTAGGCAATCACATTATACAGACACATGGCCCTTAGGAGTCATACAAACACCATCTTCATTACTAACATCAGTGATACAAATACCATCACAATTATATCTGTTATGTGAAAATACTTACAATGTTAGCTTTGCACTCATGTCCCCTGCAGAGCTCTGTGTACGAGTTGTAACGTACATATATGACCCAACTGCTTATGAACACTGCCAGCCATGAGAAAAAGAGGTATTTAATCCGCATATAAGACAAGCGAGCCTGCAAACGCACAGAAGGCTTTGGTTACAATAGTTACAAAGATATAATTTAAATAAAGTAACAACATGTTCAAGTTGTAACCCTTTAATAAGGAAATACATGAATAGCCTTTTTCTAAAATTAAAATAAAGGCCCATTCACACTGCTCGCACACTGAATGTACAGTATAAACAAAAAAAACATACAATTTTCTATTTGACTGGTGTTCAATTAAAAATAAATAGCGTTACTGTAGATAAAAAGTGTACATTTTATTCTGTAATCTGTCCTGTTTAAAATAACACTAAAATTACGATTCTGGTACAAAGCATTTGAAAGTTATTTACAATTAAAATAAAGTTGTTTTTTCCCAACGTTGCACTTTTTTTTTTAATTAAATGTGACATTAAAAAAAGTTAAACAAAACAATTTAAAGAAAAAAAAAATTAAAAAAAAACTAATGGTTAAGGGCCGGTTCACACCATGCCCGACGCTGAATGGGCTCAAATCGCACCATGCCAAAAGTAGTACATGCGCTACTTTTTAAAGTGCACTGTAATTGGAAGGCATGTTACAAAAGTACCATGCAGTCCAGTGCGGGCAGGTGTGGGCAAACGCAACCTGCGTTTGGTTTGTCGGTAACATTTTACTAACACCCACTGCAGATTGCAAAAGCAATGTGTTTTGTATGCGGCTTGAATCACACAGAAATAGCAGGAAAATAGTTGGAGAGTAGCAGATCAAAGAGTTAATTAGGGCTGATTAGGGTAAACTAAAGCCGTAGAATTTTGTTAGAATTTTTTTCCTTTTACAATGTTTGTTTAATTTTCTATTTGTTAGTGGGTTTTGGTCGGGAAATTACATGCATTTCAAAAATTGAATATTAAAAACAAACAAAATTTTGAAGTATTTTTGAATTACATGCGTCCAGTGATTAAATGTACAAAACAATATTTGCATGAAAATTCTTTTGAAATACTACTTGTGTATAGCCATTTTAAAGGTTAATAAGGGGTTAAACAGATATACTATATATATATATATATATATATATATATATATATATATATATATATATATATAAAACACAAACTACCTTTTTTTGCTTCTTAGATTACTTTAAGACCAAGTTCACACTTAAATCGTTAGTAAATCACATAAAAAAACAAAAACAAAAAACATTCCCTGCAAGGCAATGGCATAATGTGGTAGTATGCAGCGCATACTAGCAAATTATGTGAAACATACCTTAAAACGAAGCCCTCCAGCAGTGCGTTATCACCGCTGTAAAGGCTACCTGTCTGATTGGCTGAACCTCGATGACGTCACTCCTGCGCATGGGAGTCACGGGCCATGGCACACAGTTCTGAAGGAACAGCACGGGTATGTCGTTCCTTCAGAGTGCATGCGCCGCAACCAACTAATAAAAAAACTGAGCATCTCCTACACGGTGCACGTTTAGGAAATACTCTTTTTATTATAAGCTTACCTGTAGGTAAAAAGTAACAAAATGGGTTTACTACCACTCTAACGCATCAAAAAAATGCACCCCTTTTAGGGAGCAGACACACCCCAAACAGCTGTTGTGTAAACAGGACCTAACAGATATAATCTGCAGATCAAAGTTCATCCCTTTGAGCTGCAGAAGAATGAAAGAGTAGATATAAAAGTAACAATGTTGGCATAGTAAAGTGCTATGGACTTGTTCACACTAGTTGAGTGGCAGTAAAACCCTGCAGTTCAGCCTCATTTTTACCCCAACTGTTCCCCCTCTTTAGTTGCAAAGACAGTGACTGAGGGTGTACACATGCCATGGCCCACCAAACCCAACTCATTCAAGTGAACGGGGCATCTCCACAAGCACCCAACAACTACATGGAATGCACACGGTTGTGGCGTGCTAGTGTGGGGTTCAATGAATTAAGCAGGCGGTCAGTAGAAGGTACAATGCTTCCTCACCATCTGATAAACACTCTCTGAAGAACGATCTGAATGTGGATCGCTCTTCAGAGATCAAAGCATATGTGAATGAGCCCTCAGTTTATATGTTTCTTTCTGTGTCCTGTTGGGGATAATTCCCTCCACTTCCTGTCCCAGGGATGCAAGTAGAAGGAAGAGGAATTCCCCTCTTAAAAAGTAGATACTGGAACAACTGTCCCTTTACTCCTGTTCTGGTGACAACTCAAAATGTTGTCTCTCAGTGATCATGTGCACTAGGATGAATTTACTTAGCAGAGACAGAGACAGCGATAATAACCTAACAGAGGTTTTCATCTTGTCTATCCAAAGCTAAAGTATTGACAATCTATGGATACTTTAAAGTGTTACTAAACCAACAATAATAAAATCAGTCTGCATATGCAGTAAAGCATTCTTGTTGTACTCACTGTAGAACCTAAGGGGTTAATCCTCTGCATTGTGGAAATAGGCCATTTGATCCTGTTTTCTCTGCCCCTCCTCTTGTTCAAATGTCCACCTGATAAAACAGACTGAACCCGTAGCCACATGCTCAGTTTAGTGTGTATTGCTAGAGAGGTTTATTATTTTTGGGAGAGTGTATGTGATCAGCTCAGGGCCAATCAGCACTGTCCAGACAGAGGGTCAGGGGTTTTGCATCCTCCTAGAGCAGAAAGAAAAAACTCCTTCTACAAGCTTTAACCAGTGCTCTGCTGAAGTCACATGACTGCTCTAACTGCTGATGAGAAAAGGTATTTAGCAGTTTATATTTACTAAAATAATTGCATTTACATTTTGTGTGTACTGTGGGAGACCAGATGGAGTGAATGCAGGGTCCTGGGTTTAGTAACATTTTAAATTCTGCAAGGCAACACTTTACATGCATTTGGAAGCTGGCGGCATATTGCGGTAATGAAAGTAATAGGCAATCAGATAAATGTGACAAAACTTTTCCTTGGGTCAAACCACTTAACTCCTGGCTTTTACTGTTTATTCGTCTGTCAGTTTTTGGGATGCCATGAACCCTCTGTTGCATGTTAAAAAAAAATGTAATCTGCGTGAAACAGCTGCAGCTGGTCATAAATGACGACCAAGATCATCCGAGTTATGAAGGAAAGTCTGGAGTGTGTCAGTGTACACAGAAGACACAGTGGAGAAACGTGGTATGTGGAGACAAAGTAGAGTGAGCTGTCTCCACAAAGGCCAGCTAGCAGGGAGAGGCTGTTCAGAACCTAGCCAGCTAGCTACTTGATGAACTGCAGATGATGTAACAAGCCAGACTATTTAATGAGGAACATTAAGCCAACAAAAGGATGAAGAAACTACGGGGAAGACAAAGGTTATGTTCTTAAAGCGGAACTACACTGCATCTGTAGACCACAAACCAAAAATGATTTTTAATTCTTTTTTAATATTTAAAGCAAACTCATTTATCCATCCATGTCTCCTTGATTTATTTTGCCAAGAAATTACTTTGAAAAACATCCCCTAGCATTTCTGGCTGTTGGCATCATGGTTGGGGCCAGGGGCGGACTGACAACTCATGGGGCCCCCGGGCAATAGGGGATCATGGGGCTCCTGTGTCCTTGCCCAAACTCAAAAAAGCCTATGAAAAAGGTACCAGGGGCATCTCATGGGGCCCCCTACTGACCCCAGGCCCTCAGGCAGTGCCGAGTTTACAAATGGTCAGTCCGCCCCTGGTTGAGGCAGAGGATTCATGTATTTGTTACTGTATTTTCCAGCGTATAAGACAACTTTTTATACTTAAAAACAAACCCCAAAAATTAATCAGGGGTCATCTTATACGCGGGGTATACAATGTGAACCTTTAGTTTGTTTGGGCCAAGCTGGCTCAAAACAAACATCCCTAATTTGTCAGCCCGCTGCATGTGCGGTAATACTGTATGGGCGGCAGCTTCGGCTATATACAGTATACCGCGCTGAGCCAATCACGGCAATCGATGTATTCTATTAATGAATACAGGGCCTGCTCGGATTGGCTGAGGTTGTGACATCATCAGCCCACCTCTCTGACTCAGCCAATCCGAGCAGGCTCTGTATTCATTAATAGAATACATTGCTCGCCGTGATTGGCTCAGTGCGGTATACTGTATGTAGCCAAAGCTACCGTACATACAGTATTACTGCACATCCAGCGAGCTGACAGATTACTGTAGGGACGTTCATTTTGAGCCAGCTTGGCTCAGCGCGGTATACTGTATGTAGTGGAAGCTACCATACATACAGTATTACTACACATCCAGCGGGCTGACAGATTAGGCACGTTCGTTAGAGCCAGCTTGGCTCAGCGCGGTATACTGTATTCCAACAACAAACAAAATGAAACCAGCGCTCAAGTCCTCATGCAGACTAAAGGATATTTAGAATGCCGAACGAAGAGGTGCTGCCCTTCAAAGATGGGGAAATCTGGATACTGGTAGACAAAAGCAGACAAGGGCGCACTCTCATCGTGCATTACCATGGTACACCACATATTTATTGTGTAAAAAAAAAAATATATATATAGATATATACTCACAAAGAAAAAGGAAATAAAAGCAGGATGAGTGGTCCGCAATAGCAGTCAATGCAATACTGTGCCCTTAATAGGGATAAGCTGACGCGTTTCGGGAAACGAACCCCCTTCTGCTCTGTACCACAGTAATGCACGATGAGAGTGCGCTCTTGTCTGCTTTTGTCTACCAGCGGTATACTGTATATTTACTATATGCAGCCGAAGCTACCGTAGATACAGTATTACCGCACATACAGCGGGCTGACAGATTAGGGATGTTTGTTTTGAGCCAGATTGGCTCAGTGCAGTATACTGTATATATACTGTATGGAGCCGAAGCTACCATAGATACAGTATTACCGCACATCCAGCGGGCTGACAGATTAGGGATGTTTGTTTTGAGCCAGATTGGCTCAGTGCAGTATACTGTATATATACTATATGCAGCCGAAGCTATCATAGATACAGTATTATCGCACATCCAGCAGGTTGACAGATTAGTGGGTGTATATTTAATCAAATCTGATGTCTATTCAAATATGATGTTTTTA